ATTTTGTTTATATTGAAGAAATTTTTGTCGGTAAATTTATTGATAATATTATTACAAACAAAAAATAAAATATTATCAACAGAAATTTTTATCAATTAATACTTTATTTTTTGATAATATTAAACGAATAAATCACAAATATAACAAAAATTATTTATGTTTAACATGGTTGAATCTCTAATAATATATTTAAAAAATTAAGTTAAAATTCTTCCGAAAAAAAAAATTTTGAATGTGTTTATGCACTCGGAATTATACACCAGCTTGACAATCAATTAGATAATTAATTTTATTCAACAAATAAATGAAGTATCAAGATCACACCGTCAGGACTCTCAACAATTATTTCAAACAACTTGTTAGATTCTGTTTAGAGTCTTGTAAATGTTAAGACCACATGAAAAGTGGCAGGAAGTACCACCACAGTGGCAAGTTTTTCTTAAATGTCAAGATTAAACTTATAATTTCACAATTTATCTCATTTTCTTATTAAAAAAGGTGAGATATTATTTAAAAGTTTCTGATAGCATTCTTTCTAATATTTTTCAGTCCAATTTAAACAAGTTACACAATTAACAAGAATTACTACTGGATCTTGATGCAAACTTGAAAAAAGTAACAGATAAGGATAACAAAATAGAACCTGAATTTTAATAATCTATTAAGTATCAAGCTTAAAATTAATTGATAATAGGTGAATGGAGCTCAACTCAAATTTAAAACCACAAAAATTCAATATTTAATGAAAATGGGATAACATTACTTTAACAATGGAGTACTTGAGAAGGTTATGGGAGACTTAAGAGAGAAAACTTGACCAAGTAGAATCTTTCTTTTCCCCGCTTCTCTGATCCAGCTTGACTAATTCAGGTTTTTTACTTTTTCTTTTGATCCATTTGATGGAATACAATATGGATTGCAACATTCCTTCTTTGAATCAAATATATATACAATGGAAGATAAACTCAAAGTTTGATCAATCAAATTAAAAAAAAATCAAATTTGATTTAAAAATTAAATCATTAATGATGAATGAGAATGTAAGACTACATAAGCTTGATTGGATATCAAGAAGAGATCTTTGTTAGCCATCTTATTCTGATCCTTCCCTTTTTCCATAAATTATTGCTTGCATTCCTCTCTAGTTTCTCAAACAAATTAAAGGAGAGCAAAATTTAATTCGAACAGCACCATTAAGCACACAACACTAAAAATTATCTTCAACATAATTAAGCAAAAAAAGACGACATGAGAGATTAGCTCAGGCTGATGATCAAGAAAAAAATCTCATACAAAAATTTCAAGTTCTATTCTCTTTTAAAATAAAAATAAAATTTCAAAACATATACTTTGGTTTTCTAAATAAATTTAAAATTTTTTCCAAATTTTTATAAATTCAAAATTTTTTACTAAAAATCAAATTGTCCTATTTATTTTTTCCAAATTTATATTATCGTAAGTGAAATTTTTAAAAATAAAATATAATTATTTTTCATATCAACAACATATGACAAAAAAATAAATTTTGGATGGAATATTCTATTTTAATCCATAGATAATTAAAATTACATAAAAAAATAATAAAGTGATAAAGTTTAACCAAAAAAAGTAAAATACATATATGAGATTCTACATTTTGACTTCTAATATCAAGATTAATTCTCCTTTTGCAAGAAATGACTTGGACTGCTAAGCTGAACATATATGCACATACCATTTCAGTCCAACATTTTCCATCAACTTAGTTGTTTTCATTTATTTGTATTCTAGTAGGTATTTAACTCAGTAAGATCCCTTCTTTAAGATCATCAACTGGAGAAACTTAGTTTTGACTTGCTGTTTTGGAAAAAAAAATTAATCAAATTGAATTGAATTAAGATGCTTGGAATTCTTATAGCAATTCTTATGCCACAAAATAATATGTGATTGTCAATGTCTGGAGGGAGGAAGAAATGCTATTGAACTGATATTCAGAATTGATAAATTTTCTAGCGACTTCTTACAGAAACAAAAAGATAATTAAAATGTGCGCATCGATGTTTTAAAAGATCCTTGTTTTCAAGTCTGCTAGTGGAAAGGACAACAAACTATAAACTTTTAGCTGATAAAAACAAGACATAAATAAACAGGAATGCAGTCTTATGTACCCTCATAGAACTGCTTCATTCACTGGCATCTTCTGAAACTGACATTCATTTCTTCATCTCCCTCTGAAAAAAGTGTGTTTTCAACTTCCTTGTCTAGACCACCACTCTATATCGCTACCAATTGGCCATGTTGTTTGTTGAGCTCTCGTACACTCTTCCACTATATTTTCATCAATTGATCGGATTGCCTGCAAAACAAATTAAAGCATTGCATGTGACGACCAAGAAGGATGTATAATTCAGTAAATTGAAAAAATAACGCAACAAGGACCATTGAATGAACCCAATAAGAAAGATTGCTACCCAATAGCACTGGGAATTAATATTGCCAGCCAATTACATTTTCAATTTCATCAGGAATTAAAACAAACACATGGATGACAAATTTCAATTGAAACCCATAACAAGTTCCCTTGAACAGACGAGATTAATATTGCATAATCAATAAAGCTGAAAGAGGAAATAAAAGCATGAAAAATGTAAAACAGATGAACCTCTATGTTCATAAGCTTATCCAAGTTCAGCTATACAAAAGGCAGGGCAGCTTTTGATACTTTTATATTGAGAGTTAGGGAGCGTAGCGTACCTCTGTTTTGGCATGCCCAGATTGCTCTGAATCAAAACTAAAGCATGTGGTTATGTTGGGACAACCTCTTACAGAAAAAAAAATTGCAAAGATGGGAATACAAAATGATAACCCTCCGGGCAGAAGCTAACAAGGTTTGGTAGCATTACAAGATATAAGTTGCCCAATTGAGGTAGCTGTATCACTTTCTCTTTTTCCTCGCTGCCATTTGCCTCATCTCCTGAGTGTTCAAATACTTGTTCTATTTTAGAGACGTTCTCAACACGTAGATTTTGTAGTTTTGGAAGGTCATGAGCAACACTTACCGGAAAGAGACATTTCAAGTTTTCACATGAAGAAATGAGTATTTCAGTCAGATTAGGGAAGCGTATAGGTTGGAGATGATGACCTTGTGATGAAGTTTGAGCATCCTTTTCAATAATTTGCTCCAAGTCCTCACACTCATTTATCCATAAAAAGCTCAATTGTGGCAAATTCCGAGCGATGGTAGGTGATAAGATGTATCTTAACCTTCTGCATCCAACGACATTCAAACAAGTGAGGTTTTGAAAGTTGACAACTTGGATGGGATCTTTCCATGCCACCCGCGAGTCAAGTAGATCTTTCAATTCTAGTACCCTCAAACTTGAAAGATTATATCCACCATCAAATAACTCTTCAAAATTAGTGATGGTTAAATATGCCATATTCAATGATTTTTGCCCCAATTCAGGAACTATCATATCGCATAATTGCTTCCTTTCTCTCGTACCCCCAAATTTTAACCCCTGTAATCATATCATTTAACTATTAATTCAAAAAATATAAAAAGTAACTAAAAACTTATTTATTCTTTATTTTTAAATTTTATATAAAATTTTGATTTTAACAATCTTATCATTAAATTTAACATATTGCTTTAAAGGTCCATTTAAACCATGATTAAATGAAACGACCAATACAAGTAAATCTAATGTAAATTAAGTTTAAAATTTAACTTATTTCCACTAATGGAATTAGGTATAACAATTTTTTTTACTTTCCCCCAATATTCATAGATTGTTTTCTAATCACTATTACTTTTGTTATAAGTTTAATTTCCATTTAAATCTTTTCTGTTTTATTGCCAATATTGTGTGTCTACCCATCAATCAATGTTGATTACTTCATACTATTATAATTCTTATTTATATGTTTACATCTTTTAAATTATTTATTCTAATCAATTAAAATTTAGAAAAGTCCTTAATTCAAGATCATATCCCTTACAGTTACTATAGTACAACTAACCAATTATAATTTAGTATTATGTAGGGTCCACCCAAAATTATTTAAAAGCCATATTTTTAAGTAATGGCTACATAATTTCGGATTGTGATTGATTAATTGTAGTATTGTAGCGAAGTGAATTATAAATGAAACACTCTATTCATTAATTCAAGTCAAAGACAAATAATTAAATTAAAATATAAAACAACAGTTTGAAAGGATTAGTACTATATTATGAATAAAATATTGTGTGTGTATAACTATGTGAACTTGCACCGGTAAAAAGGTGAGAGTTTTTTAAAGAATTGAGTTTTATAAGATCAGGGATGAAAGTAAAATAATATTACACAAATCTTATGGATAGCTGATGCATTTTAATAATGACAATTGTCTTAAAAGTCCACAATTGAGATTTTAATGATCACTACTTAAGTAAGAAGAAGTAGATTCACATTAGTTTTATGCAAAGTGATACAAAGTCTATCTTTTAAATATTGTAGCACTTGAAAACTTTTTGCTCACCAATTTACCAAGAAAAAAAATTTAGTCAACGACATTAACACTATGTATTTTACTTTCTTAGTATTTGTTTCCAAAGATAAAAAATAGGAAAAAAATTATTAGAAGAAAATTTATAAAAAAGGTTTTATTTAAGAAAAAAATGAAAAATTTTTTTCCAATTTAAATGGATTAAGTTTCCATTTTTTTTTCTCTCTTCCTATTCTTCCACTCTTTCTATTCCTCCTACCAAACATGGTTGAAAAAGTAAAAACACAAATAAATAGGCTTACTTATATTTTAGCCGAAATGATAAAAGGAGTCAATTTTGGACACTTTCTCATTTCCAACTCTTGTAAAGATGTTAGCGTGAGTACAATGTCGTTTCCATCCCTTCCTTTTAATTTAGGTAAACCTTCCAATGTAACGTCTTTCAGTTGTGGAAGACCTTTAGCCATTGAGATTGGAAAAGTATATTCCAACCGAGAGCAATTCCGAATGTGAAGTTCTGTTAAATTCTCCTAACTCAGACCTTGCGACAATGAGGAAAGAGATGTCAAGTTATTGCAGCGACTTACATATACTTCACTTAGACTTTGGAGATTGATGTTTGGCACTTCCGTTTTGGGAATTATTTCTTCCAATTCAAAGCAGTCGTATATGTTCAGTGTTTCTAGTTGTCCAAGACTTTTGGCAACATACGTTGGGAAGAGATATCTCAATTTATTGTAGTTGCCTATGGTTACAACCTTCAAACTTTGTAAGCTTACATAATAACTGGGTCCTTCTTGTATGCTCCTCAATCCAGCAATCTGAAATAGCACTTGCATCTCATCATAAATTCCATAAACAGTGATTAAAATTTGACAAACTATATCATCTCCGAATCATGTGTATGTATGTCCATGTGAACTATCATGTGGTAAGATGGTGTTCTTTGACTTTTAAGTTAAAATTCATGTCATATGCACCATCTATTAAATTTTTAACAATGATTGGAATAATAGATGAACTTAAAACATTTTTAAAAGTCGTAAATGAAAAAAATTTAGTTTTATAATAACGTAAATGAAAGTAAAATAATATTGCATAAAACTTATAAGTGAAAGTAAAATAAAGAAAGCTATCTTAAAATTCCACAACTCAGCTTTAAATGATCACTATTTAAGTAGTGAAGAAGCAAGTTTACCCAAAGTGATACAAAGTCTATCTTTTAAAGATTGTAGCACTTGGACTTGAACCTTTCGGACACCAATTTATCAAGAAAAAAAATTCAATCAACAACATTAGCACTATGTTTAATTGTTAGGAAGAAAATAAAGGAAGGAAAGAAGGGGGAGGAAAGCAAAAATAAATGATAGAAAAGAAAATTAATTTTCTTAGTGTTTGGTACCAAAGACAAAAAAAAAAAAAAAAAAAGAGAGAAAAAAGGATTAGAAGAAAATTTATTAAAAAAAAGGTTTTATTAAGTATAAAAGAATGTTTTTCTCCCAATCTAAAAGGATTAAATTTTGATCAATTTTTTTTTCTTTCCACTCTCTTTCAATTCTTCCACTCTTTTCCACTCCGTCCTACCAAGCATAGTTGCAAGAGTAAAAGAAAAAAACACAAATAAATAGGATTACCTGTATTTTAGCCGAAATGATAAAAGGAGTCAATTGTGGACACTCTCTCATTTCCAACTCTTGTAAAGAAGGCAGCGCGAGTATAATGTCATGTCCATCCCTTCCTTTTAATTCAGGCAAACCTTCCAATGTAATGTCATTTAGCTGTGGAAGACCTTCAGCCATTGAGATTGGAAAAGTATATTCCATTCGATCGAGAGTAATCCCGAATCGTAAGTGTTATCAAATTCTCCAAAATTCGACCATGCGACAATGAGGAAAGAGATGTCAAGTTATTGCAGCCACTTACATATACTTCCCTTGGACTTTGGAGATTGATGTTTGACACTTCCGTTTCAGGAATTATTTCTTCCAATTCCAAGCAGCTGGGTATTTCCAGTGTTTCCAGTTGTCCAAGACTTTGAGCAACAGACATAGGGAACAGATATCGCAATTTATTGCAGTTGTGTATTGTTACAACCTTCAAACTTTGTAAGCTTACATGATGACTGGGTCCTCGTTGTATGCTCCCCAATTCAGCAATCTGAAATAGCACTTGCATCTCATCACAATATTTAACTTCCAACCTTTCAAGACATTGTAGAATTGGAATTGCACATGTCATGTCCCTGCATTTATCTATCATCAAAGTTTTTAATTTTACCAAAAACCCATGCGGTTGATGACCGCTGCACAGCTCTTCCAAACCACGCATATTTTTTAAAGATAATTTTAACAAATTAGAGAATGCATTGGGTAGCAACTGCTGCTTTGTAGTATCAATGAGACATTTCATATGCTCGCAACTCTCAAGATCCAGAGTAGTCAGCTTACTGAATACCACTCGGCCCGACTCGAAGCTTGGAACAAAATTTTGGCAACCCACCACATTTTTCAGATTAAGAGATTCTGTATCCCCAAATAACTGCTCGCATGCCTCAATTACAGACCCCTCAATTTGTAAGGATCTCGATAATGGGCAGATCTAAAAGTCTGTCCTCCTCCATCCATAAAAATAAGAAGTGCCAACGCATACATAAAACCTTTGTAATTTACAAAACAAAAAGTCTTTCGGAACATGTGCAGGGGAAACCACTAAAGACAATACGATCAAGTTTGACAAGGAATTCAACTCTGATAGGCTGGCATAGCTTTCTTCTTGAACTGTGTTCTCAGTGGCCCATTTTATTCTTTCACAACCATGCAAGTATAGTTCTTCTAATTGGGACAATCTTCGTATTAACTGAGGAGGGATTCTCTGTAGTTTTCCACAATATGATAAATCCAACAATTTAAGATTATCCAAACCTATTTCTTCTTGCAATTCTTTGATATCAGACCAACTAAATGAAAGAACCTCAAGTTTCTTCAACTTCTCAAGCACTGAGATGTCCAAGAGTTTGCAATGTTCCAAATATAGAGTTCTAAGGTTTGTTTGAAACTGAAATGCATCCGGAGATATCAATCTAGAATTCAAAGCGAAAACTTTTAATGCTTTCATTCCTTCAAAGAATTCACTTGAAGTTGTCATCTTCCCTTCTCCACCAAGTAAAAGAATTTTGAGATTTGGGCATACTAGTCCTTTAGGAAGTTGAACAATCCGACTAGTCTTGAAGGAGACTGCTTCATAAGGCTCACAACTTTCATCCTTTGGCCACAATTCAACAACCTCAGATTTTATCATAAAAGAAAACTCCTTTCTGTTTGACGCTATCCACAAAGCAATGTCACGAACCAAGTCATGCATTTTAACATGCCTTTCTCCACAATTTAACAACAAACAAGAATCCTTGAGGATGTCCATCGCCGCAAGCACTTCACTCCTCACTACTTTAATTGAGCCCATACCTTTATACAACTCTAGTCCCCATGCATATCTCACCAGCTCCTCCACATAAATCTCATAATCTTCGGGAAATAAAGAGCATAACGAGAAACACATCTTGGTCTTCTTATTCTTCAGATAATCAAAACTTACCTCAAGACATACGTAAGCATTTTGTTGATCAATGTCTTCTATGTCAACCAATGTACGGTTTTCGAGTCCCCCGATATGCTGCTTCCCACCCATGACGACTTTTACCTTTCAGAGCACTTGCCAATGTAACTATAGCTATGGGCAGACCTTCACATTTTTTGATAACTTTAGTTGCCACATCTTTAATAGAAGCATCAGAAGAGTCGTTTAAACCAGCTTTGGTGTTAAATAAAGTCCGAGCTTCATTGTCTTCTAAACAACCAAGTGGCATTGTCCTTTGACATTCCATAGCATCACATACTTGTTGACGGCTAGTTGTTAAAAGAATTTTGCAGCCTTTATGATCCTCAGCAAATGGAATTCCTATCTCCTCCTTCAAGTCAATTTTTGCCCAAACATCATCAAAGATTATTAGAATCCTTTTCTCCTTCTGCAGTTTCAACCAGAGCTCTTGGATTGATCTTCTTCCTTGGGCATTCTTCATATCGAAATCCAAGTATTTTGCAATTTCATCTTGAATTGTTTCAAAGTTTGGCTTTTGAGACACAGTAGCAATCGCAACTTTGTCAAACAGATTTAATTTTTTGGAATGAATTCCAACTTCATGGACTAAGGTCGTCTTGCCCACCCTTGGCATCCCCCACAATGCAATCATGCTGACCTTGTCATTCTGTAAGGCTTCAATTATCTGATCGAAAGCTTTTTTTGAAGATTCAAAAACCATAAAACCCTTAGATGAGAGAAATTCTATGGTCGGATTTGTACTAGGTGAACGGTAGCCCACTCGTCCAGGTTGACCAAATTTGGCGATCTTCTCAATAAGCTCACCAATAACAAGAGTGTTCTTCATTGCTTTCTTGCTTAATTGGTACCGCCAACTCCAATTAGGACACCAATTGAAACATCTCATATTTTGTTGGATTTCATTTTCCAGAGTTTTCATATCTGATAGGATTTTGTTTGCCTTTGATAGGAAGTCTCTGACATCATCTTCAATTCCTTGAAGTTGCCTTTCAGCATCCTCAATCTCATGTTGCAGCCGAGCTCGTGCCATTGTCAGTTCTTCTTTTCTTTCCTTGAACTTGTCAACATTTTGGTGAAAACCGAAAATGTAATTAAATTGACGTTCTACTGGCTTCACCAACCAATCCGCGAGCAGTGTTCCCACGCAGTTAGAAAGAGCGGACTCGCAAAACCCATAAGCCATTCTTGACAAGCTCAAGTTGAAGAAACTCTACCAAGAGTAAAAATATTGGCTATGAGATAAATCATGGTGATGATACCGAAAAGAAAATTAAAGAATAATGAAGGTGAACTCCCTAAACATACCAAACAAGATCTAAGATAGTCCAAAGTGTGAAAACCAACTTCTTTTTCTTCAGTTTTCTGCCAAGTAACACTTTCTAAGTATGTACCAAAGCAAGGTGAAGACAATTCAAAGTATGAGAACCAAAAATCGTTTCTTCAGCACTCTGCCAAGCTGAAAACACGAGATAAAAAATAATATTTTTAGATAACTTATAAGAAAATATTACTTAGAAAATAGGAAATAAAAAAATTACTAATGATATGATAGAAAACCAAAAATCATATCATAATGAAAAATTAAGCAACAATTTTAAAAAATGATTAATTATAGGTTTGGTCAATCAATTTTAGTTTTTTTTTTTTTTTTTTGCACACCAAACTATGAAAAGTAACGATTTAGTCACCAACATTACAAAGATTTGTTTCTTTGATCATCCAACCATTTAGGGTTAAATGTTGGATGCCGTTACCATAAGAACATATCACCTACAATCATATTATCTACAATAATTGTAGTATAACTAACTAATCATAATACATAATTGTGTGAGGTACATCAAAATTTTATATGAAATTCGGACTTACTTAAGTGGACCATAGAAAATTCTTTGTTGGGAACATATCACTTGTAATTACTATAGTATAATTAACATATTTTGTAGATTTCACAAAAACTAATGTATAACCCACATTTTTAAGTAATTGAACCATATGTAATTCTTTGTTATAATTGGCTAATTGTAAAATTGTAGCAAAAAAAATTGTAGATGATTAGGGATGGTAACAAAGTGGATATCCGTTATTTTTAAGTTATTAGTATTCAAATCCATTTAATATTTATAATATCCGAATCCATTTAAAGATCCGTTTAAGTTTAGTATCAATATCCAAATCTAAATCCATTTAAATAAATCTAAATCCGTCTAAATATGTACTATCCATTTCAACATCAAAATCCATTAAAATATCCTTTTTTAAAATTTTTTATCAAAATATAAAATAAATAAAATTTTAATTCAAAATTCAAATTCACTCGTAATTAATAAGAAATAAAGATTATTTGTTAAGGTTAGGAACCTTCCACAAATATAGAATTTTATATATTTTTTATTTGTTAAAGTTAGGAACTTTCCACAAGTATAAAATTTTATATATTTTATATATATAATCAGATAACAGATTCGGATATCCGTTATCATTCATTGAAACTTGAACATATTTGAATATTAAGAAAATACTATATGTATTCTATTCAAATCCATCACGAATAATAAATCTCCTATCTGAATCCGTTAATTATTTGTTTATAATTATTCAAATCTGATATAACAGATTGGACAATAACAAAGAGTTTATATTCGATATACTGTTAGTATATTAATTTTATACATTGTAAGTAAATCAAATGATATCACCTCATTAATTAGAACATATAAGCTCTAAAAATAAACATATATAAAAATTAATTTTTTAAAAAATTTACATATTAATGAGGTAATATAATCTGATTCACTTTATTAATAAAATTGCATCATCCAATTAATAGACAATGTATAAAATTTATAAAGGTAAAATACATCCAAACCAAGTCTTTAAGTTTTAAGTATAATTTAGGTCAAGTACATTAGTTTGCAAAATAACATTCCGCCCCAAAACTTTTCAATTAATAGGATACTAAGATCCTTCTATCAATTAACTCCATTAAAAGGCTCATTAAAAGACCATTTTATCCTTAAAAAATTAATATCCTCAAATACTATCCTTTTCATCAACCTCATCACCCTGTCATAGACAACATCTCTTAAAACACATATCTTTGCCAACCAAGCTAGCATTTAAGCTTTCCAGCAAATTTTCATCCTTAAATGACCATTCATGATCTTGTCCCTACACTTGAACCTACCACCCAACCAACAAAGAATCGAAAGAGACCAAGGAATGATCAAGAGAAATTGTCAATCCCTATTTCTCATCTTTTACCTTTGTTAATAGAAGGTCAGTATCTCACTCATGTGCCTCTAAAAACAACACTAAATCCATTGGCAAAGAATTATGATCCCAATGGCAAATGTAATTATCATATGGGAGCAATTGACCACTCAACTGAAAAATACAAACAATTGAAATAAAAGGTTGAAGATCTTATCAATAAAGGTATTCTAACTCTAGAGGTGATAGAATAATGAAAGTTGACTACATCTAATTGCCAACTATGAGGAGTTGAAATGAAAAGAGAGGTCTCAAGTTTTGAAAAATCAAGATAGGATGATTTTCTTTTAAATATTTTCACTATTGATGTATGACATATGCATGGTGTCCCTAAGAGTTATCTAACTTATTTTGAAAAAATTAAATGTTTTGGATCTTTTTTTATGAAATTTTTCTTTATGCATTTGTTTGAATAAAAAGTTCAACATAAGTAACTTTCAAGATTATAAAAACAAAAAAAAAAAAGAAAAAAAAGTTTTCTTCTGTAATAAAGATGGAAGGATTCTTGGAAAATGGTGATTACTATTAGGAAAAAGTTTATCAAATACCTCCACAACTTTTCAAATACTTTTATGCCCGCTAATCACTCAAATGATTGGACTCATCAACTATAACCCTTTAGGGAATGTGAGTTTGAATTCATATTTTAAAGGGCCGATAATCTTTTCTTGGGCAAAGAACAAAAAAGGTTAATTTTGAAAGTTTGTTTTGAATTTCAAAAATTAGATACTTTTTCAAATTTTCAATTGGTAATTCAATGTGTGTCAAAATTTTACTATGACCATGGACACAAAAATGCCTTGACTTTTTCTCTTAAGTAACCTTTGTTTCATGTCTTAAGGCATATTGATTAAAAAAAAAAAATAGAATCCTTTTTTGCCTAAGACAATTTGTTTCATACCTCTATACTTTTTCTCTTTCGTTCACCAAGAAAATAAAATAAAAATTTGAGCCCAAAGAGTTTTTTTGAACTATGCGATCGATCCTATACAACTTGATCATCATTAGAAGCTTGAGTGGAAAACAAGATGGGGCATCATTAAAAACAAAAAAAAGGCAAAAAAAAAAAAAAGCAAAAAGACAAAAAAATAAAAAAAAACATCTTCAATAATTTGCTCTTTTAACCAAGTGATCATGTTTGAAATGATGAATGGCCATCTTTCTCTATCATTATCGTATATAAAAATTATTCACTTACTACCTATTTGACCTATTAAATTTTTGTTCCAAAATAAACCCTGGCTAAGGATCGTCTTTTATACTATAGGACAAAATAAAGATATTTTCAAGAGATCAATTTTAAGGAAAGTGTTCAACATTGAAAGCATCTAACATGCCCCTTGAGAGATGAGAGTATAAGGCAAAAAGTGAATAAGGCTTCAATTGAAATTCTAAGAATTTAAGAGAGTAAACAACTAATGATGAAGTTAGGTGTTTCCAAGGAAGGGCAAAGAAATCGTAGTGATAAAAATCTAAAGCTTCAATTAGAATTAAAAATAGTAATAAAAAAAGAGAAAATATGTATCTTCAAAATAAGAATTCAGGGCACAAAAAAAAGGGTGAATAAAGTTGTTGAAATTAAAGCCAAATGTTTTGGAAAAAAAAAAAGAAAAGCAAAGAAAGAAAGCTAGAGAATGTTTATCAAGATCCTTGATCTAATCACCTTGAATAATACATTTTGAGCCTATTTATCCATTTCTTTTAGAACCCCTAACCTCAACCTACATTACATACCTTGAAAAGTTCATTTTAATCAAATATTGATACTTAGATTGAAGAGCAATATCCTTGAAAATTTATATATACTTACTGGTATTTGGAAAGATTTCACCAAGTTCTTCATTGATAAAAAATATAGCTTTAAGGTGAAAATCCCAAAATGGTAGTTTAGAGCTAAAGTCATTCTTGAAGCCCTAAAAAAATTTTTAAAGTTCCAAGGTTCTATCCAGAATAAAAACCTTGATGCAAAACCTTTTAAAAGATCAATATCCATTAAAGACTTTGCATTTCATCAAAAAAAAAAAAAAAAGCCCACCTTTCTTCTTCCCAAACCTTACTAAAAAAAAAATAATGGCTAGTTTTGACACATATTGAAGGATCACATTTTCAATAAAAAAAAAAAGCATTTTAAAAAAATTATCTCTTTCGTAAGGCCAAAAGAAATCCTTGCAACCCTCATCGAGCTTTCCATGAGATATGCCCATTAGTGAAAAGAATTGAATTGTCATTTGCCCCATCCACAAGTATTCCAAATAGTTATCATCAATTTCCAAGAGATTCGGAAGTCTTAAGTTCTAGATTTTCTTCATTTATTACAAAGATACTTTATGTGAGGCAATTTTTTGATCACTTGTGAAAATTTTAGATATTATTTGAGCATTTTGTACATAATACTGAAATCATTTTTGGTGAAAATGAAACATTAAAAGTTTGAACAGAGATCTTTTAAAAAAAAAATAAGGGGCAAAAAGAGTCTTTGCATTTGCATCGCTTACATCATTGGAAAGACATTTGACCTATAAATGAAAAAATAAAAAAGAGACATTCATAGTTGCATCACTTCCTGTGCATCATTAAAGGGACATTTGCATTTGCATTGCTTGCATCTACATCATAAGAAAGACATTCGCATTTGCATCATTGTATTTACACTTGTATAAGACATTTGCATTCACACTGTAAGAAAAATTTGCATATGCATCATGGCATTTGCATCCTAAGAAAGGATATTTGCAGGGGCATTTACATGAAAAGAAAATTATCATTGTCAAATGTATTTGCATCAAGCATTCGCATTCTTACATTTGCATTGACATTTGCATTCATATCGACATTTTCATTAGCATCATTTGATAAGAATAGACATTTGTATCATGATTGCATTTATCAACTTTGTGAATATTAAAAACA